CTGGGAGGGCACGGGGCTGGCAGGGCCAGCCTCAATCTGAGCCCTCTCCTCGAGATCGTCGCGGCCTCGTATCGACGCCTGTAGCCAGGACGCCTCTCTCCACCGTGTCGCGGAGACGACTTGGGCCGTGAGCGCATCCCTTTCTCTGCAGTGCAGTCGACGCGGGGCCCTGGACCATCGTAGAAGCGGGGGCGTCAGGCCAGACTCGGCGGTGCGGTTGAGGGGCGCCTGCTCCCACGGACCGAGCAGCGGGGAGACCGCATGTTGGCACGCTCGAAACGGTGACGGAAAGCAGACGGACGATATGTGACAGCGGACGCTGTCCAGAAAACGACAGCGCCCGCTGCTTGGGTAGGCGACCCTTGCCCTAGATGGGCAAAGTCCACGGCGACAATGACAGCGAACCCATCATGGGCAGGAACTGCCGTCGACCTTCGCCAGGACATCTCTCCGTCTGACGGGAACCTCCACTACACCCTGCACTGGCGTCTTCTCGGGAACCTGTGAGACCTTAGCAGTACACGCCTGGGGCGCCACCACTTCAATCCCCCCGAGAGCTCCGTGCTTCAAGATCGTCTCCGAGAACGCTCTGGGCTGCGTGAGCTGGTGCCCGCGCCGGGACCGACCGAGGATGTGGCCGGCCAGACCGCGTCGCGTCGGCTGCCCAGAGGTGTCCGCGCCAGTGTCCCGTTGCCGCCTCCCCCTGGGCCCTCCCTCCTCTCCCTCCTTCCTCTGCGGGTCGTGCTCCGTCTCCTGTCCCACCCCTCCCTCCCCCGTCCCGCTCCCCCATGTCGCCATCCCGCTCTCTCGTCCCCGCGGAAGTGTATCTCTCTCTCTCTTTCTTTCTCTCTCTCTCTCTCTCTCTCTCTCTCTCTCTCTCTCTCTCTTTCTCTATCTCTCTCTCTCTCTCTCTCTCTCTTTCCCTCCTTCTTCCTCTCTCTCTCTCTCTCGTTCGCTCGCCCTGCGATCTGCTCCTCGTCTCCAGTCTCTACCAGTGCCTCTCGCTCCCTCTCTCTTTCTCTCTCTCTTTCTCTCTTTCTCTCTCTCTCTCTCTCTCTCTCTCTCTCTCTCTGTATCGCTCTCCCTTTCTCTCTCTCTCTCTCTCTCTCTCTCTCTCTTTCTCTCTATCCCTCTCCACCTCGCTCGTTCCCTCCCAGCCCCTTTCTCTCTGGTTCTCTCTAGTCTCGGCTCGAGAGTATCCACTCAGAGCGAGCCCCAGGAGGCAGCCTTCGCGCGGCGAGACTGTCATGCCGATGCCTCCTACCCCATCCCAAGTCTATGCAGGTACTGCCGCCATGGAGCCACCAGCCCAGCGCCGCAATGCCCGCACATGCAGTTCGTTTCACCCTCAGCTACTGCCTGGACCGCTTCGTGAATGCCACTGCCAATTCATCGAGCATAGGCACCAGGACCTTGTCATCTACGTGCCCGTCCTGCACGGGCGCGACCTTCCTGAACCACCTGGCCACGCCCCACGCGTGCTTCGAGCGAATCTTCACGAAGATCTCCGCATTCTAGAGCACGACGTGTACCACCTGCGCGCTGAGCTGCGCGCGCACCGAGCTGACCACCACGCCCACCCACACGGCACTAACGCCGACACCGACGACTTCGCCCAGCACTTGCCCACCCCGCTACGGCCAGGTAATCGGGGGGGGGTCGGGCTCCCGACTGCTGAGGGAGACGGTGCTGAGAGCGGTCGGGCGGGTCCCACGCCTGCCGTCGTCGCGCCGTGCGCGACAAGCAGCCGGACCCCGACCCCCCCCCGGGAGCGCTTCCGCGGCCTCGCCAGCACCGCCCTCACCTTCACCGGCATTATCCCGCTGAACTTCGGGTGCGTCCTCGGCCCCACTTCCGGCATCGTTCTCGGCATCGTCGACGCGGTCCTGCGCACCATCGGCACGGGCACCAGGAGCGTCGTAAACAACATCGTCGACTCCACCAGCACGGCGGGTCCAGCCCACCCTAAAAGGGCCGTCAAGGTCGGCAGCATGATCTTCGGCGCCATCAACACCGCCTGCGGCTCCAAAGGCACGGCGGGCATGGCCCGCCCCAAACGTGCCACCATTCTCGCCGCCGTCATGCTTGTCGTCGCATCGACCCCAGCATCGACACCAGCACTGCCGACCGCATTGACGCCAGCCCCGACAAGCCCACCGCCATCACCTGCCCTGTCCCCTCGCCCGTGCCCGCCAGCGAGGGTGCAGTCTTCAGGCGCACCTTCGGCTGCGGGGGCCGCCATGCCACGATATGTCATGTTCTCGGCACCTGCAGTGATGAGCCTTTCAACATCCTCTGTCCTGACGCCTCGCCCAGGGCCGCTGGCGAGGGTGCAGTCTTCAGGCGCACCTGACGTCAGTGGGGCTGCCCTGCCATGCCATGACCCGTCCGCCTTGTCGACATCAGCGTCCGTGCCAATGCCCGCATCGACGTCAATATTGACGCCAGCATCGTCCTCGGCAGCACCCACGCCCACGTCCATGACGGACCACACCCCAGCACCGCAGACAGCACCGAAGCCAGCTCTAACGACGGCACTGCAGTCAGCCTCGACGCCAGCGGGGGGCACAGATTCGACACCATCCCCGCCCCCTCCCTCGCCCAGCCCCGCTGGAGGAGGAGGAGACGACGACGACGACCACGACGACCATGACGACGCTGCACCGACGCCGGCTCCGATGTCAGCATCGACGCTCGCATCGACGGCAGCAACGACCACAGCTTCGCCGACTCCGACGGCAGCATCAACGGCAGCGATGACGGCTCCGACGGCAGCACCGTTAGCATCGTTAGCAGAGATGGCAGCTACGATGGCAGCATCGTTAGCACCGCCGGCTCCGACGTCAGTTTCGTTAGCATCGTCGGCTCCGACGGCCGCATCGACGGCAGCGACGACGGCTCCGCCCGCAGTTTCACAGACTCCGACGGCGGCATCGATAGCATCGCCGGCTCCGACGGTAGCATCGACGGCAGCGATGCCACCACTGCCAGCGGCGGCTCCGACGTCAGCATCGACGGCAGCGACGCCAGTACTGCCAGCGACAGCCCCGACGGCCGCAAGAGACGTCAGCACCACAATCAGCCACTCTTGCGCTCCCTGTATGGCCACTCGCTCGGCGGCGCCTTCAGGCCCGCCGAAGCCTGGTGACCTACAGACCTCTCCTCGGCATCATCGTCTCTCAGAGTTGCAGCCAGCTTCGACGCCAGCTCCGACGTCCGTATCGAGGCCAGCACCGATGCCAGCCCCTACGACAGCACCACCAGCGTCAACACCCACGCCTGCGCCTACGCCGGTACCTACGCCAGAGTTGCAGGCCGCATCGACGCCAGCTCCGGCGTCTCCATCGAGACCAGCACCGATGACAGCTCCTACGCCAGCACCGCCAGCGTCAGCACCTACGCCTGCGCCTACGCCCGTACCCACGCCAGAGTTGCAGCCAGCGTCGACGCCAGCTCCGACGTCTGCATCGAGGCCAGCACCGACGACAGCTCCTGCGACAGCACCGCCAGCGGCACCACCCACTATTTATCCCACCCCGCCGACGACCCTGGGTGTCCCTAGGCCAGCACCGCCGACCACCGCATCGATTGAGGCGCCCACGTCCACATCAACGTCAGCACCGACGGCCGCATCGAGGCCAGCCTCGATGAGTCCGCAGACAGTCATTGCTCTGACGCCTCGTCCAGGGCCGCGGGCGGGAGTGCAGCCTTCAGGCGCACTCTCCGCTAGTAGGGCCGCCATGTCATGTCATGCCACGTCCGCCTCGTCGCCCGTATCGTCTGTGTCACTATCTGTGCCGACGACTACATCGACGCCACCACGGACGGCAGCTGGGACGTCCACATCGGCAGCGACAGCTTTCGGGCGACCGCCTTCGACGTCAGCAGTGGCAGACTCGCCGGCGGCGGCACCAACGTTGGCACCCACGTCGGCATCTACGGCAGCACCCCAAACGGCCTCCACAGCGGTATCCACGACAGCACCCATGACTGCATCCACGGCGGCATACACGGCCGTGGCTCCCGCGCTCACGTCCGCACCGACGCCAGCATTGACGACAGGGTCGGCCTCAGTATCGTCGGCACCGACGGCGGCATCGACGACGAGATCGACGCCGCCAGGCACACCCACGGCTATTGGGGCCGCCATGCCACGCCGCATCATGACCGCCACGTCGACACCTACGCCTGCGCCACGGCCCGCATCGACCCAAACAGCGACGTCAGCACCGACGACCGCATCGACGCCTGCCTCGACGAGCCCTCGGCCATTCACTGTCCCGACGCCTCGCCCAGGGCCGCTGGCGCGGGTGCCGTCTTCAGGCGCACCCTACGCTAGTGGGACCGCCATGTCATGTCATGACACGTCGGCCTCGTCGATTTCATCGTCTGCGGCACAGTCTGCATCGACGACAACATCGACGACAGCATCGGTACAGTCTGCTCAAGGCTGGCTCAAGGCCTGGTGGGGCGGGCGGGCCACTCAGTCCGAGTGGGGCTGTACCCGCTTAAATTCCCGATCGCACCTGCACCCCCTTAAATTCCCGATCCCTCCACAGTCATCGACGACAGCACGGACGGCAGCTGTGACGGCCGCATCGGAAGTGCCAGTCTTCGGGCGGCCGCCCACGGCGGCAGCCATGTCAGACTCGCCGGCGGCATCATCGTCTACGGTAACATGCGTACCACTGAACGTATCAGAGCAAATAGGTGGGACAAAATGCGTTGTACTTTTCAAGAGCGTGTCAGGGCAGTGCTGTGCACAGTACCCCATGGGCACCCACTGCGACACCCCGTGGGGCAACAACTACAGACCAGCGAAAACAGCCTCACAAGTAACACCTACGCCCACGACTACGGCGCCACCAACACCAGACCCGCACGCAGCTCCGACACCAGCGACAGCGCCGGCCCCGAGTGCAGCCGAGGCGTCAGCACCAATGACAGCAGCTCCGACGCCAGCATCGGCAGTGTCAGCATCCACGCCTGCCCCCTGGACG